TTCCATTTCATGCAAATGTTAACATGAAATGTCATTTTTTAGCCTTACATGTCAAAACGTGTATCTTTGATTCCATATATGTAATGTGTATATAAGTACACCTTTTACGAATATATTTGACATGTATGAAATGAGGCTGGAGGCCAATGACATGTATCTTGTATCCTATGTAACTTTTAATTTCATGAAATATTATGAAAATATTGAAAAATGCCAAGTCATTGTTTCACCATGTTTGCATCAGGTGTGGGAATTCCATTTTTATTCTTCTATAGGGTCTCATTAATCGTGCATTAAGTGTGGCCAAGGGCCAAACGGTAATTTGAAACCATTTTATAATTTTAAGTTTTAAAATTCCCTTTTCATGTGCATTTTCGCCTTTTTTGGCCGTCGGGGGGTAAGATTTTGCATCGGGTCTTCTCGGGAGCTGCAGACCATTCCTACATGCTTGAAATCATTTATTACGCTTGTGTGCACATTCGTTTCAACCTAGAAATGCATTTAGGGTCAAATGCATACTTGGTGTAAAGTTGCATTTTTTGAGTTTTTGCCCTTTTCTGATTTAGGGGCATTCTAGGTATTTTATAGTGTGTGTTTTTTTGTTTTGTTCCTCACAAACGGGTAGAAAACTCGATTTTAGGGAGGGTTTCTTCTTTGTGTTTTTCCAGAAAATGTCGTTAAGGGCCCCGTTTTTGCTCTCTGTTCTGGCAGATTTCAGAAAAGCCCATGTAGCAGCTTTTTAATCCTCTTAACCTATTCTGATCTAGAGGCACTTTGGGGATTTTACAGTGTGTTTTTTTTTTTTTTTTTTCATGTAGCTAGGTAGAAAACTCGATTTTAGGGAGGGTTTCTTCTTCGTGTTTTTCCCAAAAAAATCGTTTCGGCCTCCGTTTCAAGCCTCGGTTCTGGAAAACCTTTTTTTTTTTTTTTCTTTCTAGCATGTCCGGGTGCTTGTCAGGATGCTCGTGGGGATGCTCATGGGGGTGCTCGTGGGCGCCCATGGTGTCCCGTCTCGACGTCTTGACGTCGATTTTTGTTTTCGCTCGTTCTCTTTCGTCCGGACTTCAAATGAGATGAATTTCTTTTTTAACTTCACTAATTTTTCGTCTTTATCCAACGGTGTGCTTAGTTGCACTAGGATATTCCTGGATAAAATTTAAATATCATGGATGCATGCAAAGCCGAAATCAAATCCGAGCACTAAAAGTGAGGTTATGCAAGTAAAAATGAAAAACGAAAAAAGGACAAAATAGGGAAAAAGACGAAAAAAGAAATTACCGAAAAAGAAAGGAAGTAAAATGACCGAGTCATTACAATAGCAGACATACTTATATATTATGAATTCAGTACAAATCATACATCAATATAATATGAAAACACCAATTTCAATATGACTTTTCATCTTATTAATAAAATCTGTTACATACAACTTTATTTCCCCAAATTAAAATATAAGAATTACATGCCTAAATCGGCCAAGGCTACCTCAATCCCCTAGAAGGGGATTTAGCTCATCCTGGTGGTGGTTGAAGCTTCAATGGTTGAAGAAGAAGCCTCCATCTTCAACTCCATAGCAACCACGCCCAAGAACACTCAAGAACCCTAGCTATTCCTCACTTTCTTTATCTAGAAGTATACAAAATTTGAATATGAAATGATCTATGATATGTATTAACAACATAGAGAAGTGTATATAACCTATTCTGCTAGAATCAATAAAAATCCTCCTAAAAAATCGTGCATTGAAGTTAAAAAAGAGAGAAAAATAACTGAAAATTCAAATCAGCCATTAATTCGCAGGTTGGCGTCCGGACGCTGGGTGTCCTTGTGGCTGTCATGGCGCGCGCTGGGTGCTATTCTACAAGCCCTATGTCACTTGGCGTCCGGACGCAAAGCTGGGCGTTCGGGCGCCAAATTGCTTGGCTACTGGAATTTAATTCAATTTGTAATTGCAATTGTGAGCCCCGATTTACAAAGAGCGTTCGGACACCAAGAATGGCCTTGGAAAGTGTGTCCAGATGCCAACCCTTGTCCTTCAAGGTTGACTTCTTCTTTCTTACTTAGCTTCTTGGGTCTGACTTCTTTCTCAAGCTGAGTATACTCTTGGACTTAGGTCCATTTTTCCGGTTCCCATCACTCGCCATGCACCTTGTTCATTAAAAGCCCATAAAAACCCGTTTTTACGCCATTTTGGAGATAAGCCCTGAAAATAGACAATACACAACAAATCCTATAAAATATACTTTATTAACACACTAAATAGACTAAACCATACAATTAAGGGCGCTTAAATATGCAATATTCTGCACCTATCAATTCTTGAGAAATCAAACCAAAAATTTATAACTAGATCGGACTTATTTTGACAATGAAATTTGCCAATTACAAATTAATATCTCTCAACATATACATTGACAATGCTCCAAAAAGCATGCAAATGAGAGACATGCACTTGAATATCTTCTGTTCCATGATTCTTGTGTTGTCTTGTTTTGCACACTTCTAGTAGGACAACAATTGGACAAGTGAATCGCATAATCTATGGCTTCGCCACAAAATTGTTTAGGCATTTCCTTGGTTTTTAGCATGCTTCAAGCCATATTAAGAATGGTTCTATTTTCCTTTAGACTACTCCATTTTGTTAGGGCAGGGGCGGAGCCAGGATTTAAATTCAAGGGGGGCACAGTACCATAAAAAAATAAAATAAAAAAATAAAAAAACAAAGAAAATGAAGAAGTTTAAGAAGTAGAAGAAGGAAATAAAAAAGAAGAAAAATGATAGAATTTTGAAAGAAATGAATTAGAGTATGACTTAATAAGGAAAATTTGACTTTTTTTTTAAAGGAATTTAAAGAGTAAATGAGGAAAAAAGGAAAAAGTTAAAGAGAATTTTGGGAATTTAATATTTTTAGGGGTGGCATAATGCACAAATTTATGTGTAAAAATAATTTAAAATTTTATACAAGGAGGGGCCAGGCCAGTGAATTTAATATTTTTAGGGGGGCATAATGTACAAATTTCTATATATATGTAAAAATAATTTAAAATTTTATACAAGGTGGAGCCAGGCCAGGGGGGCACGTGTCCCCCCTAGGCATATGCTAGCTCCGCCCCTGGTTAGGGCGATCATGGAATATTAAAGGATGGTGAATTCCATTTTCTTCACAAAAGTTTCTGAAAGGACTTGACATGAATTCACAGCCTCTATTTAGATCATTTGAGCATTTATGTCATAGCTACTTTGTTTTTCCACAAGTGCCTTGAATTTTGTCAAAATTTCATACAGCTCCAAATTTTCTTTATGAAAATACTCAAGTTTTTTGGTTAAAATCATCAAGGAATAGATGGAAATAATTATTCTTACCAAATATTAATAGATAAATTGGACCATAAATATCCGAGTGTACAATTTTAGTGGCCTTCTAGCCCTTGTGGTTGCTCCCTCAAGAAATGTCTTCCTTGATTTCTTTCCAATGAAACACACTTTACATATTTGATTTGGATTACTAATCAAAGCAAATGCTTTCACCATCTCATTCTTGACCAATAACTCAAGCCCTTCAAAATACAATTCCCAAGTATCAAGAACTAAATCCAAGTTGAATCATTTAAACAAGCTCTCAAACATTTAGGTACATGGGTCTGAATATTTAGCAAAAATATTTAATTCCTTGTTATTGAAACTTTTACAATCAAACTTCCCAATGGATCTGTTATCAAGAGACTACAAGCCGGCCATCATAAAAATATTTTAGCCTTTTATTTTTTAGAGTTGTCCCAAAAGGAAAATATTGTTCTTTATATTAGGCGCTGACTAAGCATTAGAAATGAATCCCGATGATTCTCATTCGAGATTAATTTTACCTTTTTCTCTTACCAGAATTTGTGATGAGTGTCCAAATGTTACCTTGCCATTTATTTATCAATATAATCAAACTTGACTTTGCTACCAGACGCATGATTGCTAGCACCGGGTTCATGGTACCACATGATCTCTTCACACATTTTCATCATTGTATGCCAATGTACAACAAAGTAGACTCCACTTATTCATCAACATAATTAGCCTTGTATTCAACATTTTTAGCAATATTCTGAAGCATAATAGCCATACATTAGAATAATTGCAACACTGAAATCAAAATTTGTCTTTTCCCTTCCATATAGCCTGGAGTTATTTCTTCTAGACACCCTTATTTTTCGTGATTCATGACTTTCTTTGTACATTTGCATGTCCTAGGCCTGTTTAGTTTTGTTCCGTGATCTTGTCTTTGTCTTTCAAAAAGTTGTAACACAAGTTCCAAACATCCGAATACTCTGTTTCCTCATCACATTTCTTCACCAGCTTGCAACTATCCCATGAGTTGATCAATGCTAGTGGAATCCAAATCCTTCAATTCTTTAATGGCTGCAACAATATAGTAAAATTTGGTATTCAATGACCAAAGAATCTTTTCAATGACCTATCATTCACGTCTTCACAATATCTCCTTAGTTGATTTATAATGGCCTTAACTTTTGTAAAATAATATGAAATTGATTCATTCAAATCCACCTTGTAAATTTGGAGGCAAACCTTTTTCACTTTATCAACTCCTTATTGGAATTTTGAAGGATCTCCCATGGTTGCTTGGCTTTTCCATATTCCAATCATTGATGGATATTCATGAATACTTTTTGGTCATTCTTTCTCGTGGCTTGTAAAGCTTATTTTTGGGCTTGCGACAAGGTTGCTTCATTTTGTAGCTCAACATAATATTTCTCAACAAATTCCCACAAATCTAGTGCTCCCAAAATTACCTTCACATAAATATACCAATTTTCATAGTTATCTTTGAATAAACGAGGCATTTGAAATGAACGTATTGTTTTCCATTTTTTTTCTTCATCATAAACCAACTCTTATACCACCCTACAGGCTGTAGTATCTCTTCTTTATGATCACCAAAAAATAATAATAATAATAATATTTAAAATCGAAACACAAAACTTCCATTCATTCTGAAATAAAAGTAGCATTTACTATAAATGTACTAAAATACAATGTTAATGTAATTGAAAAGAAACAATGTTGACTGAAAAACAAGAAAATTAAGCATGTGGTTAGAGTCCCATGCAAAACCAACCATTGTTTAATGTCCCATAGTAAGCAAACTAAGCACCAGAGTTGCTACTAGACAAAGGCCCACATTAGCTACTTGTGCTGCCTGACCGCTTTGCTGAGGGGCCGGAGCTGTTGCGGCAGTTTTACTGACATGAGAGACATTGGAAACAGGAGGCAGTGGTGGATCAACGACGTCTGTAGTAGCAAGGGGATGCGTAGGGGAATCTGCAGGGGTGTTAAATTTAGGATTAATGAGGCTGAGCAGACTCCCCGGCATGACCGGCAAGATGCTGTATGGGGTCTTTGTTTTGGGATCAGCACACGGGCTTCCTGCGTAATATAACAAAGATTTGATTTCGTTACATCTTGAGTACAGTAACATAATTTATTCACTATAACAATACTTGGTTTAAACACATTTTTTTTTTACTAGTAAGTGTATTCCAACTCTCACTTACTAGTAGATTTGTATGTCACTTCAATTGTGATGTTAAAATGAGTTCCATACAATTTGATGGTCACAACAACAGTAGCAGACTAGATGATTTAGTCGTACTTACTCAGATATGCGTTTGCAGTTGCCGGGTACTCGGTGACAATACCATCAACTCCCATTGCAATAATGTGAGTTGCAAGCTCCACCATTGGATCCCCAAAGTAATCGTGTGCTATTGTGATGAATTCGTTTCTGAAAGTTGAAACGTACACGGATATATTTGCTGCGTGCATTTTTTCAACCGCGTTAGTGTTAGGAAGGGTTAAGTAGTTGCTAGTAGGAATGATTGAGAATTTTCGGAGATTGACTGCATCAGCATATTTCTTGACTTCCTCCACCATCTCGTTGGACACATTGCTCACTAGCTTTCTGATGTTCAGTACTCTTCTGTAATTTGAGACATCTTTAAACTTCGATAGCACTGAACTGTCGTCGGATTGGATCAACACTTTTTGGTTGGATTGCTTGTCATATGAGGCATCGCTCAAAGCTTTGGCAACGGAATCATATAAGTTAAGACCCTTATGTGATGCGAAGAATGCTGCATGCTGAGAGAGAACAACACAAGCATTAGAGTTCTGTACACTAAGTATGACAAGTGAATGACAGAAAATAACATTGTTGTGGGAAAGCAAAAGCTTACATCTATATTAATTAAAATCCCAGAAACTGCCTTCTTCTTGGAGAACTCCAAAAACTCGGAGAGAGTCACGAGCTTACCCACGTTCTTGTTTACTGGGTTTCTTCGAAAACCATCCCTTGCGTATTCTTCGTGTATTTGAGCTGAAAAGAGAGAGGTCCTCATTTGTCAGTCCAGCAGCATACATCTTACAAAATGATAAAACCATTTTCTTCATAACCAAATGAAAAAATGAAACAAATTGGGGAAGTATTGAGAAAATTACGCTTCAGAGTTTGAATCTCGTTCCATGTGAGATCAAATGAGAAAATTCCACTATTATTTTTAATTTCAGGGATCTTAGCAGATCTTGAAGTAAAAGTAGCCAAGGCTGTAGTATATAGGGTGAGATCTGGTGAACCCAAGCAGAATGCTACTCCATCTTTGGACATTTGGACTGAGCAATCTATTACGTCTGCTCCATCGTCTACTGCTTGCTGATAAGCCAGGTCTGTGCAGCCGGGATAGACCCCACTCGCTCCATTGCTTGTTATGATCAAAGGTTTTCCTATAAAATCAAAATTTAATGTCCAAAAGGACTCTCATGTATTATTACCATTCTCTTGTTTCATTTTCAAAATCTGTTTTATCAAGTGATAATAAAAAATAAAAAATACAGTTCGTTAATCAAAATCAGTATTCTACCTCCGGCTGGCCTGCTTCTATTTTTGTTATTTGCTAAGCATGCTGCATAAAAGAGAGTTTTTAGTGAGTTCAACACATTGATAGCGCGCGCGCACACACAATATATATATAGAAAGTGGTGAATACCATCTTACCAATTGTTTCTGATGCAGTGGAAGGAAAATCAGTAAGAACCCCATCAACAGCAAACTCCGAATTATCAATAAACTGCAGGTACTCAGCTGTGGGGTCATAGCTGTAATTGTAACTCGATAGGATATCATTTGCAAAGCAAGAAGCATATACTTCTAGGCCAAGCTTATGAGCATCGACTACCAGACTAGTGGCAGGCTTCAGATAACTAGTATTACATACGGGCCAGATGAATACTTTCGGTACAAGAATCCCAGATGCAAATGACTTGATGGAAGATAGATTCTTCAGTAGTGAACCATATTCTTGTTTCGTAGTGGGTTCGATTGCTTTATCTGGTAGGAATTGGAAGATGATCTTTGTCGTGTTTTTCACTTGGCCATTCAGTTTCCTCAAGAAATTAAGATCCGTAGACGAAACGTAGTCTATATCGACAAAATTCGAAATGTTTTTAATGTACGATGCAGGATCAAGTTTGTTTTCCGTATAGAAGGTGCTGTGCTGCATAGAGAATAGATGAACAACAAAGATGCAATAAAATATACAACTTTATATATGATAAAAGGAATTGAATTCTCTTGTGCTCTAAGAAATATACTCCTAAGATATGGATTCTTTTAGCAAAATTTCTATTTTGGAATTTCAAATTATAGACTTTACCAAAAATAATTGTTGATTATTAACAGAAATGAAATCGGTTACGAAACCATGTATGACAGGGAGGGCACGTCACTGTAATTTTTCAAACGAGAAGGTCAATCTGATTTTGACAAACCTCAAGGGAGATCATTATAATTTATGCCACATGTAATATGTGCTACCAATACATACACATATAAATATAACTAATGCAGATTATACGTATTGTTTTGATAGAGGATTATTTTAAATATGCCATGGATACTAATTCTATTGTATACTAGATTGAAATGTAATAGAGAGAGAGAGACCTGAACACTTAACCAGAAGTTCTTTCTTCTCTTCGATGAACCAAGCCTTGGTATATCATCAATCATGAAAGTAGGCATTCGATCAAACGCAGCTGTTCTACTCATTACACTTTGCATTACTGTGGAAGAATATACAAAATTTAAGTTTATATAGTTATTTGCAAACCAAAAGAGACATTTGTTTCTAGTCCTCATTATTAGTTATAATGCAAAATCATCTTTCACAAACCAACCATCTTTGTTTATGTATACTTAGCCATAACATTGCATATAAAAACATCATGAACAAAGATACCTATAGTGTATTATAATGCACATAAAAATAGATGTTGAACTTGCTAAATCGGTAATCCATGCTAGTAACATGATTTTCCGTACTTACTTGTTACATTATGGTATAACTCATGAGCAGTGTAATCATTGGCAAACCACCCTTCAACTTCCTGTCCATTGACTTTGTAGGAACGTTTCCTATCACGAAAGACATCTTGTATGTCGGTTGAATTCTGAAGGGTCAAATCGGGCATGCAAAATCCACGATTATCTTTCGATAGTTGGAGCTCGCAAGACAAGACAACCTCATCCAAGCTGTTGGACAATGCCATAGTATATGCAAGCTGAGTGAAACCGGGAAAAATTCCAGAGAATCCACCGCGTGCTATTACAGAAGGACTTTGACCTGCAATTTATTCAGCAGTTAAAGAAAGCTGAAAATGATCTCTTTTAGAGGACAAAGTAACAAAGAGTCTCTAGGTGGGTGTGTGTGTACTGCTATTTAAACTCAAAGACATCATTGGTATTTTAGGAAGATTTCCTCTTACATATTATGAGTTAAGGTACCACTGGTAGATTATGGGATGTTCTAAGAGGCCTGACGCTACAGTTGTTGAACAAAAAAAGAAAAAAAAAAAATTGAAGTTTGAGTTGTGCTATTTCTATTGCTACTACGATGGATTTGCTTCTTGTTACTTTTATTACTTTGGCATTATTATTCAACAAAGAAGAAACTCTTGGTCGTGAACGTGGAGCGAACCCTAATAATACTACCGTATACCTAATCCCAAATTCTTGGGCGTGAATGTGGAGCGAACCCAATAATACTACTGTACACCTTACCCCAAATTCTTGGTAGTGCCAAATTCTTGGTCGTGAATGTGGAGAGAACCCCAATAATATTGTATTGGAACTCTATCTAATTCCTCAATTTTGCCTTTTTATAATTGTGAAATCTTGACAAATCCGCGGATATAGCCTACTTTTGAGTGGACCGGGTAAATCAATGTTTATTTTCAATTTTTTTTTTTTTTTTGTTTGTATTTCACAGACCTTGGGTTGGGATTAATTTCCTAACACAGCTTGGAAGAAAGAAAGGGAAATGATGTATGTGACAACATAATGGATGAACCAACTGCAAAAGGCAGTTTCTCAGGGGAAGAATTTAATCTTTTTTGTAATCCGATTTTTCTTTCTTTTTCTTCTACTTATGATTACTATTATTCTTTTCATCATCACGTATGATTCATTTTAGAGGAAAATGAGGGTAAGTCTTGGTGCGACAATAAGGTTGCTTCTTTGTGACATGAAGGTTATGGGTTCAAATCACGAAAACAGAAACATTAATGAAGGCATCAAGAATATATTGCATTATTACCGTTCAGAGTGAGCCATTTTTGATCTGAACCCGCCCGGGGATTCTCCTTGGTAGCTGCCTCCTCAATTGCTGCCTCTGAAAAAGCGGGGTTCTTGGATGATTCATCATTTCCGCCTAGACATGATTCGATCAACAAGAAAACCAAAACCAACCGACTGATCATCTTCCTGTAATCCTGTAAAATGTTTTGAACAAAAATTTAAAATAATTTTAGGTTAATTAAAGATATCATCATCAAACAAATACAATAATTTTGAAACAATGTACTACTAGAGATTGAAATTGTTGTTGAAATAGAGAACAAGTGTATTTATGATCCCATTCATTCACAACCCATTAATATAACATGAAAATACATATAACTAAATTCACATGCATGATATATTTATAGACACCTCATGAAATTTATATTTTCTTAAATAAATAAAATTAAACAGAGAAATTAATGTGAGCAACTTACTTGATTAGGGACGAGTTGGGCAAGGAAGATGAACATTCCCCACCAAGTTATGAAGAAATTCAACGAATTCCTCCTGAGGGGGAATGTAATCGGTAAAGATAGATATTAAAGGATGTCAAAAAAAAGGAGAGATGTTTTATAAGTCCTAAGTTAGTTATTTTAACGTTGGGCTAGTTAGGATTTTCTAAAAAAAGACCAACAATTATGTAATATATAGATCTTCTTTTGCTAATCTCACGGAATTGTGTTGGGATGGTAGATGATCTGTCATACTCATTTTTTGAGGATATATGGAATGAACACTAGCTGGCAAATAACGGCTTGTCACTCACTTGTGCATATATGTTTGTGTATCATATATAACAAGGGTAAAGTGCATTAAACCCCTTAAACTATTGGTTATTTGTAAGAAACTTCCTTGAATTACAAAAAAACCCACTGAACTATGATTTTGTTGCAATTTATCCCCTTGAACTATTAGTCATTTGCAAGAAATCCCCATGAACTACAAAAAACCCCCCTGAACTATGATTTTGTTACAATTTACCCCCTGAACTATGATTTTGTTGCAATTTACCCCAATGACATCAGCTTCCGGCACCGAAAATTTTGAAAGACCAGTTCACCCTTATAACACACTGCGTCGTTTTAACTTATACACTTCTTAGATTTTTTTTTTCTGCCAAAAGATGCTTTTCACCCAACCGAAACCAAAACAAAGAGCTAGAGAGAGAAGAGACCAAAGTAATCCAAGGTCGGCGGGATGGCTCGGTCTCGGATGATAGCGGCTTGTGCACGGTGGACTTGGCTGTGATGAGAGCTCGGTTGACTCGGCCATGAACTGTGGAGGCAGTGGCGAGCTCAAGGGGGCTTGGCGGTGAACTGTGGACGGCTGTGTGCTCAAAACACGGACGGCGATGTGCTCGGCTATGGAGATGGCGGAATGGGCTGGCAAGCTTGGAATGGACAGTGGAATGGACCGGCGAGCAAGGTGAGCTGAACAGCGAGCAAGGCCGTGACGGCGATGGGCAGACGCAACGGTGCAGAGAAGTGAGATATATATGGCCGACGGATCTGGTAGGTGGTACAATGGCTATAATGGAGCTATGACAGGAGACCCACCGATCCCAACAATAGATTCCTTGGCTTATCCAAACACTCCTCAGACGACATCTACCACCCCGATCCCAGCCACAAATTCCTCGGCTTCATTGTCCTTTTCAGTCAATCAATTTGCGCGGATGGGGTAAACTGCAAAAAAATATATAGTTCAGGGGGATTTTTTGCACATACCCCAATAGTTTATGGGGGTTTCTTGCACATATCCCAATAGTTTAGGGGGATTTTTTGCAACTTTTATAGTTCAGAGGGGTTTCTTGCACATACCTCAATAGTTCAGGAGGGTTTTCGGTAACTTTTATAGTTTAGGGAGGTTCCTTACACATACCCCAATAGTTCGGGGGGGTTTAATGCACTTTACCCTATATAATATATATATATATATATATAACACAATTTTTGTAGAGTGGGCTATGTCTGAAATGAAAATTAAAAGGATAAATATAGGAAAAATTACACGCATGTAAACTTAAGAGTTCTAAATAACAAAATAGTTTATTTTAAAAGTATATTTTTCTATTTGATTGAATCAAATAAATTACAAATGCATCAAGAATTATTGTTAAAACCCAAAATATCCTCCAAACCCTTACTATAAATTACCAAAATAACCTTCTTATAATCATATATTTTCAAAAAATTAAAAAAAAAAAAAAATCACTATAACATTTTTCAATACTAATAGTTGATATTAAGGTGCTAAATTTAGCGAGTGTTAATTAAGACCAAAAGTATGACATATATCAAGCTGAAATAAAATGTGTTTATTACTATAAATATAAGTTAAAGAAATGGAGTCTAACATAAGGCATGATCAAGAATGCCATTTACATAATAAGATAAATACTTTTAAGATAAAAAGAAATTATTTAAGAATGAATTTAAACTTGGGAAAAAATCCGCAATAGTTGTAGCAAATTTGGATAAATTCTCTAATCTATTTAGGCAAATGACATTCATCTACAAAAGTTTGCATCTTTTTTATTAGACAAGAACCATTTTGTTCTTGTAAAATTAAAATTTGATAGACTTTTGTTTTGACAAATTGACCCATCAAATATAAGTCTCATGTTTAATTAAATTATTTAATTGGCCCAAACTTGGTCCACTTAAATTATTTAATTAGCCCAGCCTAGATGATTAAACAACAAGATAATTATTCCTGATAAAATATATTTGGAATAATTATTACAATATAACCGACCCGATCCAGTTATAATTATGCCCTTATCAGGAGAGGACACATGTCATCATCCTATTTATCCAAGAAGTTTATAAATAGAGGCATGGAGGAAGGAGGGAAGGGTACACAAATTGAGAATTATAGAAATCTAGAATTACAGAGAGAAATACAGAAACTCTGTTCATATTCATCCTCAACACCCAAACCTGAAGGCGAAGAGCAACAAGTAAATCAAATCGTGCCGTTCTTTATCAAAATTCCACGGTGATCAATAACAAGCACATCAAATCATGTCGTTCTTCATCAAAATTCCACGGTGATTCAAGATCAAACTCGTGTAGCCCTTAAATACCAACAAAGGAGATCGAATCAGAAGACTTTATTCTTTGTAAAGAATATTACAGAGGATTGTATCCCTTTTATTTATCATAAATTACTAAAATTATATCTTGCTCCCTATTTCGTTCTTTATTTGCAACTTACGAAATTTGTGTGTACAAATTTCTGGCGTGCCCTGTGCGACATCCTTTGCCTTTCATCTCTTTCTCCTATTATCAAGTTTCTGCTCTATCAAAATCCATGGCTCCCGCTAAGGATCAGACAGACAAGAAAGTCCAAAAGAACATCGCTACTGCAAAAGTCAACACCAAAGCCACCATGAAAAGTGGCACGAAGGCCAAGAACACATCAAGTGATGGAAGTACCTTGGCGGGCCCTGTGACACGTAGCAAGTCCCATGCAATCGCGTTATCCAAACATTAGCAAGACTTATTGAAAGCCTGTGATGACCATGTCATCTTTTCTTTTTTTAAGGTTATTTTTTTATTATTTATTATTTATTATTTATTATTTATTATTTGTTTGTTTGTTTATTTAGTTGTTTATATTTTTTTCTTGTGGCTTAAGGGTTTTGTTTGACCCGAAGTAGGTTTCGGTGTCTGGAACCGATTTTCGGTACCACGTACATTGCGTTATTTAATCTTTTACTACCCGCATAAGTCTAAAATTTATTGAAAATCATGCTCGTTTATTTTTATTTTATAGGGGTATGAATGCATAGATTCTTCGGAAAAAAAAGATTCGTTTTTCGGCGTTATTTGTGTAATTAAGTTTTTTGAGATATTTTGCCTTAGGAACCTCTTAGCAATTATTCTTTGTGGTATTTAGTGGAGGGACTAACTTGCAAATAGGG